GTGTTTTCACCGAAAAATTATAGAAAATTCATAAAGTAAAAAAAACAGAAAACTTGTCATGCATCCTAGTGATGATGGTGGAACACTATGGAAAAAATTTGAGTTAATTTCAAGGATGTCGAAAAAATTTGAGTGTGGTATGGTCACCCTGACATTCAATCCAAGAATTGAACGTATTTGAACACCAAAAACTTGTTGTGTCACATCCGGGGTGTGCTATGTGCTGTTTTGACCTAAAAATTTATAAAACATTCATAAAGCGATAAAAATTATTTAAAACTTGGCATGCATCCTAGTGATGATGGTGGAACACTATAAAAAAATTATAGAAGGCAAAAAAATAGTGATGCAAAAACAAATAAGCCCACCTGTGCTTGCACGCCGCAACTGCGCTTAATCGGTCCGGCCCGATCAAGCCAGGTGCAAAAGGGCCGGCCTTTCGGCCCAGCTACGGCCTGCAGCACAGGCCAACGAGACAGTGGCGGGGCGGGGCAGGAATCAGGGGAGTTCGAAACGGTGGTGGGAGCTTGGTATATAAGCCGGTCGCGGCGTCGTTCGGCGGGCGAGGTGGGACTAAACTTTTGTCCTCTCCCCCGCACCGTGCGCACACTCGATGGGCCGGCCCAGGCGCGCCGTCGCGCACACTCACTGGGCCGTCGCGCACAGTTAAGACTTTTGTTTTGTTTAAAAAAATAGTATTAAGTTTTTTAGTTATTTATGCCTGGCTTATAGTATAAAGAAATTCTATAATTAATAAAAATTCATACGTAATATAGAATTGTTAACTATATTTATTATAATAATAATGAGTTGTTTATTAAAATTTATACGAAAAAGTAATGAGTTTTTTTATAATTAATTGCTAAAACAATAATGAGTTTTCTGATAATTAATTGATAATGAGTTTTTTTGTAATGAATATTTTAATCAGTCATTTGTGTAGATTAGTAATTACATTTTTAATATTTATGTAATGTTAATTAATGTCTAAAAAATATTTAAAATATATGCAAAGTTTAGTACTGTAATGTGTTGCATTAACGGCTAAATGTGTTTACATAATAATACTGTGTTGTTTTTTTAATTTAAAAGTAAGAATAATGAGTTTTTTATTACAATTTATAGGTAAAAATAATCAGTATATGTTTAATTTTTTATGAGTTTTGTGTTAATGCCTAACATTTTGCAGCTTATTAAAAAATATTAATTAGTTTATTGATATAACTAATAATTTGGAAACGACCGTTCATAAAAAACTCTACTTCACATAGAATTTATTAAGTAGTTAAATTAAAAACACTACTTAATACAGAATTTATTAAGTAATTATATTAAAAAGAGTACTTAATATGGAATTTATTTCGTGTTGACATTATACATATGAAAAATTTACAATTGTTATTTCTGCGCGAATTGACGAGCTGATATTAAAAAATAAGATAGTAATAATGTCAGTTGACTTTAGTTAAAGTCATATGACATTATTACTACCTTATCTAATAAATATCTCAAAGGCGGCTATATAAGCCAGTCCTGGCGTCCCTCGGCGCGCGAGGTGGGACGAAAAAAGCGCCCCTTCCACCTCCCCCCGCGCCGTGAATCGTAGAAGCAAAACAAATGATGACAAAAAATAAGCCCACCTGTGCTTGCAAGCCGCAACTGCGCTTAATCGGTCCGGCCCAATCAAGCCGGGTGGCGAAAGGGCCGGCCTTCCGGCCCAGCGACAGCCTGCAGCACAGGCAACGGGGCAGTGGCGGGACGGGGCGGGAATCAGAGGAGTTCAAAACGGTGGTGGGAGGTTGGTATATAAGCCGGTCGCGGTGTCGTTCGGAAGCCGAGGTGGGACTAAACTTTAGTCCTCACCTCCGCCGACCCTGCCCCCGCACCGCGCGCACACTCAATGGGCCGGCCCAGGCGCGCCGTCGCGCACAGTCAAGACTTTTGTTTTGTTTTAAAAAAATAGTATTAAGTTTTTTAGTTATTTATGCCTGGCTTATAGTATAAAGAAATTCTATAATTAATAAAAATCCATACGTAATATATAATTGTTAACTATATTTATTATAATAATAATGAGTTGTTTATTAAAATTTATACGAAAAACAAATGAGTTTTTTATAATTAATAGCTAAAACAATAATGAGTTTTCTGATAATTAATTGATAATGAGTTTATTTGTAATGAATATTTTAATCAGTTATTTGTGTCAATTAGTAATTACATTTTTAATATTTATGTAATGTTAATTAATGTCTAAAAAATATTTAAAATATATGCAAAGTTTAGTATTGTAATGTGTTGTATTAACGGCTAAATGTGTTTACATAATAATAATGCGTTGTTTTTTTTAATATATAAGTAAGAATAATGAGGTTTTTGTAATGTGTTTTCGGTGCGTTTCACGGAGAAAATCATAAGAAATTCATACGGTGCCGCAAAATTATGAAAACTTGCACGCATGATGGCCCTGGCGGTGAGTGCGTGCGGAAAAAGTTAGGGTCCATCGGCTGAGTCAGAAAAGAGAACGCAGTACGGGCTGATATCGTTCATATCCGATCAGTGCCGGTTGCATAGGTGGTACGAGGTGGCACGCACGAAACGTTACGCAAATTTGGGATGCAGTGGGCATGCCCATCTTAGGGCCCCACGCAAAAGTTGAACGAATTCGGACACCAAACG